ATGCATAAGGATGGAGACGGTTTGAACTTGATGGTTTCAGGAACCCAGATTTGCCGCTGCTCTTCTACCTTCTGCATAAGGAAACCGACAATTGATGGTTTCAGGAACCCAGATCTGCCGCTGTTGGTAAAGCATATGCATGAGGATGAAGATGGCTGGGAATCGTCGTTGTTGGTAACGCCACTTCTGGCGATTCCAGTTTCGCACGAGGTAACACTGTTGATGACGATCCTTGGTAGGCATTCACCGGCGATGAGGGCGGATTGAACCTCCGAGATCTCTTTTTGTGTTGAGTAATTTTCCTATTATTTTCCCATGTAAAACCAAACAATGGAAACTGGAATTTTTACACTTTCCCATCCCATCTTTTTCCCATCCCACCCAAATCTTCCCACAAACCAATTAAATGTTATATTATAATCTTAACAAATATGATTTAACATATAAAAAGGTCAAAATTGGTTATGGTTAACCTCGCATGATCTCACCCTATATAAGAAGAAAGGTCGGGTTAGGGTATCGGTGATTTAATTTGAGTTGAGTTCAAATTTGGTCATCACATCTATTGGGCCATGGTGAAAAACCCGAAGTGCACCAATTCCCAAGATGAAAAGGCTATTTTTACCATTTTTTAGGGTATTTCTTAAATGACCCTTATGGTTTAGCTAATTGACTAATTTTACCCCTGTTATTTAACTATTGTCTAACACTATCCCTACTGTTTCAAAAAATTACTATTATCATTAAATATTAATAGAAGGGATGAAATGTTAGTTTTACCCTTCCCTTAAATCCTTTTAAAAGCATTTCTTTCTCTCGCACTCTCTCTCTCCACCTCCCTCGCATTTTGCACACAGTGGAATGTCAACTTCGCAGTTCACACACACTAGAATGTCAGTTGGGTTCCTCTTCTAGTTTTGCTTCCACCAAGAATCTTCGATAAGTCTTACATGGGAATCTACGATTTTGATGAGTTTGAGTATTTATCAGTCGGTGATCGAGGAGCTGGAGAATGTGATGATGGTCGACGATAGAGATTCGTTTCGGTTGCTCCTTGTTTCTACTCCCTCTAGTGGTTGTTGTTTCTTCATCCTGTATTGGTGCTTTACAATCTGAGTAGAGTTTGAAAACGATGCAGAGCGGTGGTGTTCGGAACGGTGGATAGTTTGGTTTCTATTTATTGCTTTTGATCTATGTGTTTTCTATATACATTAGGGCGAGAATTAGAAAACTAAGGAGAAACACGCGCTAAATCAATTTCAACCTCGGGGGTCGTGCAACCGGTTTTCCTAGGGGCCGTTGGAACGTGTTAATCTCGACCGTTGATCCCCGGATACACTTGCTATAAATAGGGGCCAAGGGGCTCATTTCCTTCACCACAAGCCTACGGATTTGTAATCTGAGGTCGCACTCGAGTCTTTCAGTTCGGTGTCTTTCCGAGGTCGCCTTCCTTTCTTCGGTCTTCTTTTGGTGAGTCCCCCTTTGCTTTTTCTTTTCGATTCTGTGTCTTTCTAGCATGTCTAGTTTTAGTTTTGATAGTCTCTTAGACGAGAGCTGTGAATCCGCTGGAGCCAAGGTACCCACCTTGGCTCAGGCCATAGATCCTCGTCCTACCGAGGAGGTTACTTCGGGCCAGGATGCGGTCCACGGTCCTACCGAGGAGGTTACTTTGGGCCAGGATGCGGTCCACAGTCCTCAGGTAACCTGGCTTCCACCTCACATCGAAGTCGGCTGCCAGATAAATTTGGCCCATCGACAATGACGGCGGATAGGCACCTAACCCTAGTAGCCCGGTACAGACTTCCCAACGACCTTGTCTATAGCATTCCCTTAGGTAACTTCCCTTGGGATCATGGTCACAACGAGATTGTGATCTTTGAGGAGCAGCTGATTGCTGGTCTTCGTCTTCCACTTCACCCTCTCATAGTCGAGGTCGTAAAATTTTTCAACATCACCATAGATCAGCTACATTCGAACTCTATCCGCAACATCGTAGGGACCATTTCACTTTTCCACGATTACAATCTTCCTCTTGACCTCGACATTTTTTCTTCTATTCTTTCCATCAAGAAGAATTCGTCTTGTGTTCTGCCCGAGCACAGGCGAACTTACTATCTGTCACCTGGTCTTGGCTTCAAACTTTTGCACGAGCTCCCTAACAAGGTCCCCGCCCGGAAGAGGTGCTATTTCGTGGTCCGCAACACTGAGGGGTGGCTTTTCCCGACTCATTAGAGGGCAGCCATCCAGGACCCTGGTGTTAGGTTGGACCTAAAAACAAGGGAGGCGCTCCGATCTTGGGCGGAGCTCAGCCTGAAGTTTGAAAACTTCGTGACCGAGGAGAAGCTCGTGCAGACCGGTTTGAGCCCTGACAGGTCACTGTTTGCTGTATTTTTTCTCTGTTTTACTTTGGTGTTGTATCTGACAGCCTCGTTTTTGTCGCAGCTATCATGGAATCCCCGCCAACGAACTCTTCGGGAGTACGAAGAAGGGGAAAAAGAAGAGAGCCTCAAAAAGGGCTTGTGTTGAGCACCCACCAGCTACTGTACCCAAGCCTGAGCACCCGTCTGCCGATCAGCCTCCCGTAATAGATCTGGTCGAGGAGGACTCGGGCAAGCCCTCCCCACCCCGCATGCCCGAGGAGGCTACGTCTTCGGAGCCCGTTCCTGTGGCCGCCACTTCGGGTAGTGATGACGTAGCACAAAGTATTTTGACTCTAAAGTTCCGCCTCCTCAAGAGCAAGGACACGGTATTTGCCTAGGAGGTTGCTCATTGGGCTGAACTGCCAGTTGCTCAGCTCGGGGCTCGAGCGGCTACTCACTGTATGGTGGTAAGTTTTTAGGACTTGTCTCTTCAATCTGTCTTGTACTTTGATTTTTGTATACTGACGCTTATTTTCTTCTCTTGGCATATGAATTCCACCATCCACGCCTTGGCTTATCAGTCGGAGGTGAACTTGAAGCAGGCCCTCAGAGCCGAAGAGTCTTCCCGGAGTCAAGAAAAGATAAGAAACATTTTTTTGTTAATTTGGTGATCATAATTTGATATCACTGTTAAAATGAATCTGCACTCACTATATGATAGTCTCTAAATTTTTAATCCACAACCCCAGGACCCTGATGATTGAAGAATCGAGTTGACGCACCAAGGGGATACTTTTGTATTAAAGAAGAAGAAGAAATGGCATATTTTAAAAATTTAATGAATAGTTTGGGATACTTTTGCATTAAAATTTATTGTTAGGCTTAACCTTGAAAAGGTCAATAAGGTATATATAAGTTTTTTTAAAAGTTTAAGATATGTATAAATAGTTTCTCAAGTGTACAGGTATATATATGTAATTAATAACCCAAAAAAGAACTATGCCTGGATTGATAATTAAAATGTCTCACAGCAAAAACATGTCAATGCACCTAAATTTGATTGTTCAAAATAATAACATTTTTTTTGTTATTAGATTGGGTTGAATATATCCCAGTCCAATCCGAATTCAAATCCCACTTCCCTTGCCCTCTCTACCTATTTGATTTTAATTACTTGCCTTACATTAAAAGATGTTTAGTGGTCAATAGCCATACCTCTAATTTGGATGGTGTAGGTTCTGATCTTAGTTTAAGTTTGGGAGTGTTTATTCAAATAATTATTTATTTTGAGTGGGATCACACTAATAAGCATTTATTTGCATTTAAGAAAATAAGTCCGAAATAAATATTTATTTTGAGAATAAGAAAAGCCCAAATTTTGAATTTATTTTCAAATAAGCACTCCTAAACTTGCCTTATAACCCATTTGAGAGGGATTTCTGCGTTGGAGGTGGGATGAGGTGATTCAACCGTGGTAGTTGAGCACCTGTGTTCCGGTGAAACTACTTGGAATAGCTTCTTATTTCAGTCGTGTTTTTGACATTCGGAACACAGTGAAAGGGCTTTCCGGATTTTCAGCAAGCATAGTTTCTGACGTTCCCATATGGGGCCCAGCTGGGAAAGCTAAAAGCTGCATCTCAAAAGCCCTCTCAAACGGGCACTTATTAATAGGCTATGAGATGATAATATTCTTTTAATTTTTATTTAGGGTAAATTGTTGAAATTAATCTCCCCTGAAGTTTCTGGTCGTTGCTGAAACCTTCACTACAGTTTGATAATTATAATAGCCTCCCCTAAACTTTCTGACACGGTTGCAAGTAAACCTCCTCTATTAGAACCCTTTAACAAGAAGTGCCAAAATGTCCAAAAATCTGCATGCAATTACTATGGAGGCTGGTTTTTACAAAAAAATATACAAAAACTTTATAAACAAGAATTGTGTTTAATATACTTTTGTTTTTTTTTAAAAAAAAAAGAAAAAAAAAATAGAGAATTTGAGTCAAATTCAGGGAAACTTTACCTTTGAGTGATTGATATCAAGGGAAATTTTGGTAAATAAATCAAATTCAGAAAAGAAATTGGAAACTATTCATACAAAGAGAAAATTGAAAAATAAAAATTTTCATAAAAAATAACTATATAGGCATTTTATACATTTTCATGACTCTTTTTAGAGGATTCTAACAAGGGGGTCTAATTGCAACTATGTTAGAAAGTGTAGGAAAGATGATTACAATTTCGAAAATTCAGGGGAGGTTTAATAAATAATAACCAGAAATTTCAGGGGAGATTTTAGCATTATTTAAGAAGGAGATGAGGGCGGGAATTTGAAAGTCCACAATTAATGACATTGATGTGGTTGTTAATGAGCTCAGTTTGAAATTAGAGATTTAAAAAGTAGTACAATTATTGGAAACATAAAAAAATGGGTAAAGGTGCGATTAATTTGAAGTGGAACTTAGTGGGTTGAATGGCAAGGTTAATAAAACATTAAAGTTTGAAGTTTGAATTTTGAAATTTGAATTTTAATACCACTATGATTTGTATTGGCTAATACATGCGTAACGTATGGACAAAATAACAAAATAAGCATGTGCCATGTGTTAATAATATGGTTGGATAAAGATACGATACTCTGTATTGAACGTATAGTAGGATAGCCCATGGATACGATACCTTCTAGCTAGTCTTCAAGGTTGAGAACAAGAGGAGAAATAATTTTTCTAGGAAAAGAAATTAAACAATTAGATAGAGCCGTAGAGAGGTTACTCTGAACTAATTACCCCAAAAGGCACCATCAAAGTGGTGATTAGACCAAGTAGTGGTTTCCCCACAAGTAAGCATCATCCCATTTCCACAAAATCCCGTAAATTGATTTCCGCTTGGGTTATTATTGATAACCTCCATCTCCATGAACGAAGGTTGCGGCATGCTCATCCCCAAGGAACACGGCACTGCTATTTCTGCCTGATCATCACCACCCTCGTCAATTACCATAAGTGGTGGGGAAGGCCGCCTAAGGTATCCGATCCTCTCTTCGATTAAGTTCATCTTCTCCCCAATCAACGCTTCCAAATCTTTCAGATCCACAATGTTGTTCACATCTCCCAGGCTCCTACTACCTGCCAAGCACTGGTACATAAGATGGTTTATCTCAGTCTCCCTGTTCTCTTTCTCCTGTCTCTTCAGCTGCTCCTGCAGCTTGGATATTCTTTGCCTAAGGAACCCTTCTTGGTTCGTCATCTTCTTCCCTTTTTCCATCTCCGGCAAGCTCTGAAACCTTGCGGCAAGGAGTTGGGCCTCTGGCAGTGATGGCCAAACGTCGGGCTGTTTGTTGTAAGGACTATAAATGATTGCGCATGCATCAACGCCACACAGGGTGCTAAGGTCACTCAACTTCTTTGTCAAACCCTTCATCCTTTTCTCGAAGGTGACTTTCCTAACTCTGGGATCAGCAATCAGCATATGCTGCGTTTTTGCCCTAGGCATCGTTACTCGTTAGACTTAGGGTGGGTGCTTGCCTGCTTGGGGTCTGGGGAAGAAAACAAATATAAAAGGCCTGAAGGGCCCTTGTTTGTGGGCCGGCCGGTGAGGAGGGATTTTGTGGCTGCTACCTCTTTCTTGTACCAACCACGGGGTCAGAGTGGTATATATAAAGGTAAACGACTAAACGGGCACGTTACGTTGCCATTAGAAGATTTTTGTTGAGGACTTGAGGGCAGCGCAAGGGTGAGGGTGGGGTGGTATGATAACTGATAAGATTTTCACATTCCACGCTTTAGTAGCAAATGCTATATTAATTAGGTAAAAAAAAAAAAATCTTCGGGTGTAAGAGACACATGTATTCACTATTCAGTCCGTGGTTTAAAATTCTGCCTAGTAGGTATGACAACGCATTATTCTTAATACAAATTACAAGCCTATTAGCTGCTTATAGTTGGTGTCGTAAGGCAGTATAACTCTGTATGCTCACAAATAAAAGTGTCAGTTGATGTTGTCCATCATAGAACTTTCCCTCCTATTACAATCACCTTTTCGCAGTGGATTGAAAGCCATCTCATCCAGCATGGGAAAATTTTGACAAAAGTAACGAGGCGTGGGTTTGTCATCCCCCGTTTATAAGCAACTGTACCTACAATTTAATATAATAGGACCAAAAGTTTTCCCTTGTCCATACCCAGCCCCCTACCCGTTTGATTATGTGTTCGCATCCTGTGAATCCATGGATTCACGAACAACATAAACTTGCCAATCAGAGACGACCACGTCAGCAATTCAAAAAAGAAATAAGGTTAACATGTGTTCAGCCGTTAACCGAACAAATCCAATCCAACCACCCACAAAAAGACAAAAGAAATTTTCTTTCAAGGTCATTTAAACTTTCCTCCCGTTTCGAGTCCTCTCCTCCAAAGACCTAATCCAAGCATCCCGCCAGCCAGTCACCATACACCGGTGCCTGTGTCTGTGGAACAGTGGCAAGAACACTGACATTCCACAGGTACTCTCCAGTTTCTCCAACGGTTCCATTATCCCATCTTCTTCTTCTTCTAACCCAATTTCAACCCGATAACCTCCATGTACGGGTGTCAATTGGACTGGATTTGGTCCAATCCGATCCAATCTAATGTGAATCCATTATAAATAGATCAGGTCCAATTCAATCCGATGAATGTTTTGGACCAATTTGAACCGGTCCAATTCAATGTCTGGACCGTCCAATCTATTCAAATTCATTTTGATTTAGTTTGGTTTTAACTTAAATCTGGTCCATTGACACACATATTCTTATCTTATATCAATGAATCAGATATTGACTTAATCCAACACAATCCAATATAAATTTGTTACAGATGGACCAGATCCAATCCAATCTAATAAATAGTTTGGACTGGATTGATTTAATCCAATATATCTTGTTGGTCCGTCCAAATTAATTTTGGACCGAAATGGGCCTAATCCAAAACCGGTCCATTGACACCCTCACCTCCATGAGAGAACAGCAATTTGTAAACCAACTACAATTTGTTTATTATTATTTCTTTTTATCACGGTATCTTGAGTTATTAGAACAAACCAATTCAGCTGTTAGTTGACTCTGTTTTGTTCCTACAGATGGAGAAGGAAAAAAATCATCAAGGACCCGGAAGAGCTCCTAAGATAGAATTTATGTTACGGTGGGGAAACGGAAAAAGGCTTTGATGTGTGAATTTTAAAGCTAGAGATATCGCAGGGAGGAGAATCACTACTCGTGCCGATTGTCGTGTGGTGAGAGCTGAGAAAGAAACACCTCCTCTACAACAAAATCCCATGAGCATGTAAGATAAGGTCGAGAATAAGCACAAAATAGAATTTCAAGAATCCTGACATCAAATATTATAGTTCGTTTCTGTTCCGTTTGCTTTCAGGGACTCAGAAAAGAACAAAGTCTCAAGAAAATGAGCTTGAGAGCGCCAAGGGAAAAAATAGTTCTTTTTTGGATTTTGTTTGGTATCAAAGTACTCAAGATGAGATAGAAAGGATCACAAATCGAGTTCTTTTTTGGGCTTTCTTTTGTTTCAGAAACTCAAAAACTTGAAAAGAAGAAAAACCCAAAAAGGAATTCCAACTAAACAAGGTCCGAGTCATCAGAAATCGATTTATTGTTGGGTGTTGTTTTGGTTACAGGAACGCAGAACCGGTGATACATCCATCGAGTATAAGCGAGAATAGGAAAGTCAGCTTCGCCAGAGATGGAAGATCGGTGCTACGTGGCGATAAGGTCAATGGGGTTCGATGACAATGCGAAGATGAAAGAGAGGATACAGCGGTTATCTGGCCAAAGCTATTTATTTCACTATCAAAGCAAAGAAAAGGAAGAGGATTTCATGGTGATGAAGGAGTGTAAGCTTCCTCAGAGATCCAAGAAGAGGGCCAAATATATACAGAGGATCAAACTCGTGAGTTCTCTCTCCCTTCTTCCCTCCCTCTGTTTTAAGTTTCAACAGTACCTACTGGAATGCCGGAGTTCTTGTCATCGTTCCACGGCAGGCAGGATACTTGGGTTAGGGCTCGAATTAAGGGTGCTCACGGTTCTTTTTTTTCTTTTTTCAACGGAACAGGTACTACTGTTTTTGAAAAATCGGTTTGAAATTGAACCGAAGCCAATGGTTAATCGATTAATCGGTTTGATTAACCGTCGGTTTAATTTGTTTTTTTAATTTTTATAATATATATTATAAAAATATATAAATATATAATAAAAAATTATAAATATATAAAATATTATATTTTAAATAATAAATAATATATCATATTTTAAAAATATATATTTATATATATAATGTATATTTATTAATTTATAATATATATATATATAATAGATTCGATTTCAGTCAAAGCGTGATGAGTCAAACACCGTTCAAACATGCATTCATAAGCGCATTCCTCATTTGTGTGGGGATGGTAAATGGGCGTTTAACATGAACGCCATTAGCCATTCCTCATTCAAAATATTTTTGTGAAAAACCCCGTGTCTCTCCATTCTCCTCCCAAACATTTAATTCTGCTATCCTCTCCGATCAAAGGCATCTCCAGCGAAGACAATCTTCTTCCGGCGACCGGCGATAGAGGTTTAGTGTTTCTCTCCCTGCGGTGGTTTCTCTGCAACTGAAACCCGAAAAGGCAAAGGCATCACTGGCGAAGGCAAATTTCTTCCGGCGACCGGCGACAGAGGTTTAGTGTTTCTCTCCCTGCGGTGGTTCATCTGCAACTGAAACCCCAAAAGGCAAAAGGCATCAACGGCTTCATCTGCAACTTTGTGCTTCTACAGCTTCACCTGCAACGGCTTTCATCTGCGGTGGTTTTAAGGCATCAATGGCTTGTGAAATACATAGGCTCCAAAAACTACCAAGTTCCATAAGGCAAAGCTGCAGTTGAGCTTGTTTCGGGAGCTTCACCTGGGATACAAACAGCAATAGAGCTCAATAAGGGTACGACCTATAACTTGGAATTTGTACTTGGAGATGCAAACGGCTCTTGTGTGGGAGATTTCATTGTGAGGGCGCAAGCAGGATCTACATCAATGAACTTTATGATGCAGGCCAACGGAACCGGCTTGGCCCAAAGCTTCCTCATGACTTTCAACGCAGATTCAGCTCTTACAAACATCACCTTCGTTAGCCTAACCACGGGTCAGACAAGAGATTGTGTTTTGTGATCCTGTGATCGATAACGTGGTACTCCATGCTTCATTTGGGCTCAAACCACAAATGCAGAGTTGGGTGCTGTTTTTATGCTTGGTTTTCTCGTAGATGTTGTATAGATTATTGAGAAATAGAGCCAAATATGAATCTGTTTTACCACTTATTATCATATTTTACTGTTATTTTTTTTACAAGTTGTTCCTTGTAAGTTGTAACTGAATAATTTGATTTTGAGAACTTGGGTAAAGCATAGCTGGCCTGATTCCTTCGCCTGTAGAGATTGATTGGATCTCATAGGTCCAAAAACTTTTTATAAATTGCACTCCTTYRAAGGTTCTRATGGATTGATTGAAAGAGAATGATTGGTTTAGCAGTTGACTGATGGACATTATTCAATAGTTCTGGGTTTTTGACAAAACAAGTGTCTGGATAATGCGTTAATGTGGATCAACGAGATCCCCACTGAAGGAGTGGAATCGCAGGGTATTAGATATAAATGAGTAGTTCTATACATTGAGACCCTGTTTGAGTACCAATAAGGAAAATCGTAATGTTCTTCTGTTTCAAACAAAACACCGTGGTTAGGGTGTTGGTAACATGCTTGGCATATGGCTGTCAACCAGAGCCAAAGTTCCTATTCGGCACACCGTAACACATTGGCTGATAGATGGCAAATTAAGTAATAAGCACTAAGCAATAATAAAACCACAAACAAATTAAGCAATTCAACAAACTCAAAATGATTTTATATAAGAGAAGAAAAAATAATTAACCCAGAAATGATTTTACAAAGAGAAAAAAAATAACCCAAAAACAAGTTAACCCATAAATGATTTTATAAGAGAAAAAAATAACCCATAAACAAATTAACCCAAAAATGATTTTACATAAGAGAAAAAATTAACCCAGAAATGATTTTATTATTGTTCTGTTCTAAAATATACTAAAGTAAAATGTAGCCGTTGCAGATGAAGCCATTGATGTCTTAAAACCACCATAGATGAAAGCCGTTGCAGATGAAGACGTAGAAGCACAAAGTTGCAGATGAAGCCATTGATCCCTTTTGCCTTTTGGGGTTTCAATTGCAGGTGAACCACCGTAGGGAGAAAAGCACTAAACCTCTGTCGCCGATCACCGAAAGAAGCTTGCCTTCGCTACTGATGCCTTTGCCTTTTGGGGTTTCAGTTGCAGATGAACCACAGTAGGGAGAGAAACACTAAACTTCTGTTGCCGGTCGTTGGAAGAAGCTTGCTTTCGGCAGTGATGCCTTTTGGCTTCGCCGGTTGGAGAGGATAGCAGAACGAAAGGTTTGGGTGGAGAATGGAGAGACACGGGAAAGGAGAACAAAAGGATGGCTAACGACATTCATGTTAAATGCCCATTTACCATCCCCGCACGAATGAGGAATGCACACGTGCTTATGGGCACGTGTCATCCTCTCATAATGTTCGAATTGTGTTCGAACCCATCATGCTTTGACTGTAGCTGAACTGATATATAATATAATATACATAAATATATATAAAATATATAGAAATATATGTATATCAATCGGTTTGGTTAACCACCGGTTTTCTATATTGGTTAACCAAAACCAAACCGACAAGTTCGGTTAACCAATTTTTCAATTCGATTTTGGTTGATTTTCTCGATTGGTTCAGTTTTTTTTTTTAATTTTTTTTGCTCACCCCTAGCTCGAATGATAGAGGACTCAAAATGGGGAGGAGAGTTGAATGACGTTGAAAGAAAATTTATTCATGGCTTTTGTGGGTGGTTCAACTGAGTTTGTTCAGTTAATAGTTGAGCACCTGTTAACGTTACTCCTTTTTTGAATTGCCAACGTGGTCGTCTCTAGTTCCCTTCACAAAATGCGAACTCTCTTGATTGTATTGCTTGTGCCAATTAGTTTGTGGTTTTACATTTTATAATAGAAACCTTTTTTTATTCGCATGTGCCAGTTAGGTTGTGGCGGAGATTAAGGGCTTGTTAATTTTCTCTTAATTCTTATCTCTTAAAAGGAATTTTTTAACTTTAAGAGAAAAATATTTGTTGGTTTTCTCTTATCTTTTATTTTTTAAAGTACAATCATGTAACTTTTTGTTTTCCAATGATACTCCCAAAAAGACAAACAAAAATTCTCATATATGAGGCCAAAATAGATATTTGATAATTTTCAGAATCCAGAATTTAGAACTTCTCTACATTCAGAGTTCAAGTAAAGAAAAGTTTACCAATACTAATATAACTCTTAATGTAATTATTGCACTTTCAAATATTACACTTTAGAGCAAATAAACAAGCTCTAAGATTGTGTTTAATTTGAAGAAAAAGGTAGGGAGGTTTCCTTGCCTTTCCCTTCCTTTCCCTACCTTTTCCTTTAAACCAAACATAGCAAAGTTTAAAGTCTAAATAATTTCACTTATTTGGTTCAATTACTGTTCTAAAATGCTTATTTTTCCATTTGTGAGACCACATCTTCGCCCCACCACGTCTTGCCACACAACTCCCCACAGCACATCCTTGTCATGTACTCGATGATGACATCATCAGTTCTGATACATCATCGGAAGATGTTTCCAATACACGGCGTGAATGTGCTGTGGGGCGGAGATGTGAACTCCCATGTAAAGAAAAAAAATAAGGGTTAATTATTTAAATATATCCTATATTATTATTAAACTACTTAAAGGTCAAATCGACATATTCGTTTCTTAGAAATAACAGAAGACAGCCTCTCCCTCTCCTTTCTGGTAGATCCCAAATCATTCCAACATCTCTTGGACGGCTCCGCTAAAACCCATTTGTGAAAATTAATGGGACATGAACGCCGACCTAGGTCATGAACGCTGGCCTAAAAGACAAAGACCACCGTCCTAGAGACCTGGTCAAACCATTCATAAGCCGGCGTTAGACGACACTGATTGCCGGTAGTCATAACCGCCGGCTTAGAGCCATTTGTCATTTTAATAAACCGCCACCATAGGTAAACCATGTAGTAAAATCCGACACTTTTAACCGCCAGCTTAGAATAAATTGTCATCTAATTAAATCGCCGCCATAAATATATTAACCGCAGGCTTAGACATAGTATTAACCGCCGGCTTAAGTGTAATGATCTGTCAAATGTGGTGGTTTCTATGACTGCCGGCATAGATTTTGTTAATTTTTAAATAATAATATCAGTTGACACCTGCTTAAAACTGAAACCTGAAACAAGAATTCAATACAATCAATTCTAATAATCTGAAATCTGATTTGCATTTCTAGTCAAGAATTCAATACAATCATTAAAGAGTGTTCACACTTTACATTGCACACATATTACTATAAGTCTATTACAAGGCCACATCCTCCAACTGCGCTTGTACAAAAAGCTAGCCACATATTGATCAACCAAGGCAATCTTTCCATCAAATATATAACTAGGATTAGATCAATCATGATATAAACTTGTAGTTGGGTTGCAGTTTGTGGGAGGAGATTCCTTCTTGTTGTCTTGGTTCCTCTTCCTCCAGTCGAATATCTAAAACTTCCTAGTTTTGAATCCTTGATGTTATTTGTGAATCATTTACATTGTTTGTCATTTCAACACCTTCAGCTTCACTTATTGGATGAACTCTAGACTCGGTTCTTTTGAAAGTATGAGAGCTGAGATCCTTCTGGTCAAAATGAACTCTATACTATAGACTCAGTTATCTGAAACACATGACATTGCTGCACAAACCCGGTTCTACTGAACCCGTAATCCCATAGAGTATGTACTTCTGAGCATCCGAGCTTCTTCTCTTGTTCATAACTACCTTGTATTTGACATCTTGGAACTGCAGACAATAACCATGGAAGTTAAACCATTTCTTATTACACCCTAGAGCTACAGAATTTATGAAAACTTGAAAATTTTCAGCTAAAGGAACCCATCTCTAGTAAAGTATTAAACATTACCTTCAGAAATATGGGCAGAGTAGGTACTGTCTCAATTTTCTTCCAACTGCAGGACTTCTTATCCTACTCATAAGATGAAGGGAAGTCATCTACAGCATTCCCATCTGGTGTTTGTTGTGGATGCTTTTACAGCCGCTAACAGCAGCAGTAATGGGTGATTAATTCAGAGTTTAATGGTCAGCAGCAGTAATGGGTGATTAATTCAGAGTTTAATGGTCAGCAGCAGTAATGGGCGATTAACTTAGTGTTCTCATCTTATCTAATTCAGTGTATTCATCTTATCTAGCTAGATACAGTTCTATCTTATCTAGTAGGGAGTCTTATCTGTTCAATGTTCTTATCTAAATTCAGTAGTATAGTTCAGTAGGGAGTCCTAAAAGTAGGATTCTTATCTTCTTGTAATCTCCTATTTAAAGGAGCTAATGATATTCAATAGAGGCATCGAAATTCTCAGTCAAGACAGAGTAGAGGAGAGTTGGTGATCKCTTGAACAAATCACCATTAAGGCACCAAGATAGGTTCCTCAAGAAAAGGGAGGAACAAGGGAAAACATGAGGTTTTTCCCGTGGACCGACCCGTGACGAGATCCTATCGCGGGCCTGTAACAGTGTTGAATGCAATTTTCAGTGCAAATTGGCTCCCAGAAAGTATCTCCATTGGCAAAGAAAAAAAAAGGAAAATAGTAAGTAGTAGTGGAAGCACTATAATTAATTGAACACTCGATGCAGGTTTGGTGATCCCATTTTTATTCCAAGGTTTCTCTTCTTTCCTGTTTTATTTCCATCCTCAGGTTCACCATCTACTAGTCCAATTATGCTCTTACTTTTGTTTCTGGCAGTATTTGAGGATATGGGGATAGATTCTTTCATCATCGTCTGTCTTGATGCAGTCTTACCAGTATCATTGAAATTAATCCTGCTACCGCTCAGCTTTTGTCACTGCAGCAGATCCTCGTTTCACCTCCATATATATGTGAGTTCTATTAACAGTAGACAGAAGAATGAAAATGATAAATAGACTAAATATAACTAATTTTTTTTGAATGGTAACTTTTGACTGTATTAAAAGTATTTTCATCTCACGGGAACCAAAACAACTGAATGAAATGTAAATGTTGCCCATGAAATGGTGATGACAACAGCTGCAAACTTTCAAGTGTTTGTGGCTCCCACAAAAGCCCAATATTTTATATTAGACAAAGGGGTAGAGAAATTACACAACAAAGAATGGATGAATGCTTATTTCAGTCGAAAGCTGTACAAAAAGCAATAAAGGAGAAACACTGATCCAATACCCATTGGCAGACACTGAGGTTCAAATGAAGTCAATCTTAATATTGAGCTGGCACTTGGCAGCATGGCTGCCGGGCAAGCACTCCAGAAGCCACTGTTTTAAGCAAAACATGTGATAGCTCTGGCTATAATCCAGCTTTCCCATCTCATTATCAGCATCATATTCTTGAATGATTTCCAATCTTAGTATTGCTGCTGCTGCAGCCTTGCAGACAGGGCAAGCATTCTTCTGCAGAAGCCATTGCTTTATACAAAATAGGTGATAACTGTGGCCACAGTCCAGCTTTCCCACTTCATCATCAACTACATATTCTTCTTGACAAATGCTACATTTCCAATCTGTTTCAGTGGGAATATGTGATTGCAGATCCTCCATAAAGGAGTGCTTAATTTTTCTGAGGCAATGGAATATCTCATCTTCTCTTAAACTAGTATTTACATATCCAATTTTACCTCCCAGTTCAAGCAATTCCTCATATGTCATATTATCAACATCAAGCCGCCAATCCCTGTATTGATCATATACCTCTGATCTTCCACACAAAAGAAGGCTCTGGAACATCATAATCTCTGCAAGCCCTCCTGGAATAACCATTAAGCAAGTCAGAAGATCAACTTGAAGAACAAATAAGTTGCCATTGATCTTAAACGTAAAAAAAGATCATACTCATAGTATTAAACTAACTTTAATATCTATTCCAGCATGAATACTTTCTTATAGATAATTTGGCATAAATCAAAGCAAATTAAATGCAAAACACTGATTGATATAATCAAAGAGTTGGGTTTAATATGTACATCCAAAAGAGTTATTCTAGTCTTGAGCTTTTGCACAAACAGGCCAGACTTTGAAGAGAGGAGGCCTGCCTCTACTTCTCTCAAAGTCATTACATTACCTAGAAATGTTTATGTGGGATCTAAATAGATGCCTTCTCTCGAAAAGGCCTACAGCTCATGAGGATTTGCACAAGAAAATTTGTTCAAAATGATAAGACTACCATTATGCATCATTGGTTTAAAAACAAACTTCTAATGGTATAGGCTTTCTCTTAATAACTATAGATTACTCACAGACCATGCAACTAATGAAAAAAAGAAAGAATATGAGTTATGTCAGCAACACACCCCATGATAAATCTTCCCTGTAGTTCCTGAGTTTGAAGGTCATCTACTGTTAAAATTGATTCCAAATTTTTTAAACATGGGTTGGAATGGTCGGTTTCCCTTTTTTCAGTTTATGAATTATAACAACTTCCTCGTTCTTTGATGGCATCAGCAATCTCTTTAACATCCGGAAAAGTATGGACAGGCCCAATGCAGATTTCTGATTTCCATAAACATTCAAAATGTCAACAACCCACACTCTATGCACCAACGCCTGCCCGTGAATTGGCATCAATTCCGAGCTGGCACCTACCCCAACAGTACTTTGGGCCTACAAATTCTGACCCTGGGCTGAACCGTCTTTCTCCCCTTTAACATCTGCACATCTCACTGCTTCCCAGTACAGCGAGTCCATCATATCAGCACCAAAAAAAAAAAACCCAGGAAATATTTCCAAATAATAATGTGAATAAAAAGGACATAATATTCATAATGTGCTTTCTAGGTAAAATAATCAAATAACTAGTTTCTTAGAAATCCATATTATCGAGCAGAGAACAATATTCTGTTCATTTACATTTTACTGTAAAGGTTTTGCCTCTTAAGTTAAATAATACAAATGCATAACCCTGTGGGCCTGCCCATTAAGGTCACAGCTTTTTCTTTGCCTTTGCAAGCTACTAAACAAGAAAAGCATCTTACCATATTTTTTTTGATAATATCCTACTCATATATAATAGCTTGACTGTTGAGTCCTATCCATATATGTATCAAGAAGAGCTGTAAACATAACTACTTTATATGGAACAGAACAAGTGGTAGTCAAGATAGAAACCATAATGTCTGGATCAATATGCAGTTAATGCAAAAGCCATCACCTCATCCACAAAGTGATGAAACTAGGAATGTGTTAAACAATTTGAAATCTTTATAATTGGAATAACAGAAACAACAGTAAGAAAGTTAATTACATGAATGCTCTATGAAAAAAGGATATAATTCCTCTATGCAACAGTAAGAAAGTTCATTTGAAATCTTTCTTTTATTCTTGATATATTTCTCTTACAGATATAATTCCTCTATGCAAGTTTTGCTAATATACAACATTCTTTTTTCCAAATACATTTCAGATTTACAATGATTTTTCTAACTTCATCAAGAAGTGGTATAAGCTACTCTGGCAGCTTGAGATGATTAGGAACTTTGGATACAGAATACGAATTTATTTTTTGAAGGTAAAGTGATTTCATTAAAGGGGAAAAATAGACCCCAAAGCTATACAGTCAAACATTGTACAGGCCATTAAGGCCATTACTCAATGTTGGTCCCAGCCATCTGGGTTCTTGGCAGGGGTAGACTCAGTAGGGTCCTAACCTTTGTCATTTTTTTCGCACAAAGTAGCTGCCCTCGGACTTGAACTTGTGTTCTCATGCTTGCCAGCCCGACTTCTGAACTTTGTCTGTGCTTGTTGCTTGATCAACAGCCGGGTCAGTAACTCAGTACTCAGTGTGAATTAAATATATATAGCTATTAATAGGCCAGATGATTCAAATTTTGAAACTCCTCAATAGTTTTTACTAACAACACCCAGCAAAAGACAACTCAATCAAAGCTATCAGATAAAATCAAAGAAAAAAGAGACTCCATTAGAGAATTCACCTTATCATCAAGCACAGTTTCAGTGAATCTTTGTATCTCATTCAAGCACTACCTGTTCATCTATTGAAGTATTGATTATTAATACTAAGCATGCAATCAGCCGTTAAGGAAGAGCATCTTTTGCCCATACCAAGATGCATTGTTTTTTGCTTTCTTTTCTTGGAAAAGAAATTAGTGTTATTGGTGCAAAACAGTAAAAACATTTAATGCAAACCCACACAGAGATAGAGAAATTGACAAACACCATTTCTTATAAATAATGTTTGATCTCAAAGCTCACAAAATTTATCTTGGGGGTGCAAATTTTAATTATAAAACTTCTCCCAACACAGCAAGTTGCTTTCCACGGTATACATTAACTATAATGTTTGTTAGTTACAATAATTACCTGAATAAAAAATAAAAAATAAAAAAACTATACGGGATACCCACAGAGCAATAATTATAATGGCTATGAATCGGACTCTTATTCCCTGAGCTGAAGCAGGAATCCTGGACACCCCCCCACAAAAACACATTTGTTACATTAGATTTAACAATTAATCTTTACATATATTTTCTTATTTAATCAGTTTCTATTCTACAAAACGCCAAGAGCCTGTTGAGATCCAAGGGGACTCCACCGAGGAGGATATGTCAGTTGTATTCTTGGAGGGTTTATGGTGTTGATGTAATGTTTCTTGGTTGTTTTAGTGTTGTATTTTCTTTCATGAGAGAGAGAGTGCTTTCTTCCTCTCACAGTACCATATACCATACAGATACCATATACACAGTTTCTTTCACAAGCCATGTACTGAATGGTTACCAATATCTTAGAAAAAATAATTAATATTTAATAATCAAGACTGTTTTTATTGTTTTTGAAATTAATTATTGTTAACTTAATACTATTCCATTTTGAAATAATAAAAAATAATAGTTAGTATAAATTAAAGAAAATTTACCTAACAAAACTTAATAAAAATAAAAAATTAACAATCCAAAAATAATGTTTGAATTGGACATGAAAGTAGTTGCATGTCTTTCACATGACCTCTAAATGAGGATAAGCAAAATATAAAACACAGAGTTTAAGACTGTGACCAAAGTTGAGTCTCTTAAGCTTGCTTCCTGGTAGTGTGGAATGTCATAACCACTAGCCTAGAATTCCTAAAGATAGGAAAATCAAACCTGGATTGAGCATCTCCTATTTTTGTGTCCTTATTTTTTTCTTTGTAGTTTGTTAGGTTATCAACAAAGCAGTTAACTTAAGATGTATGCAGCTATTTTATGGAGCACTATAATCAGAGCTGTTTATTTTATTTCAGCCATTCTGGAGGGTCTGGAATGCTGCAGGGAGTGATGGTCGGGGAGTTATAGATATTCTTTTGTACTTTTCAGACATTGATCTAATTATCTGAGACTTGGTCATATCTTATGCAGAAAATTAATACATTTATTCTAAATCATCTAAAAATTGTAGACTTGTTCTGTTTTTTTCCTACGATTCTAGATCAGCCATAATTCAGGATTCTGCATTCACATACTTGATCTACTATACTCATCTTCATATTAGAACCAAAGCAAGAAAAGCAAAAAATGTAAATATATTATTTATGGAGAACTGGAGAGATTCAAACTGAAAATTATTCAATAACCAGTAAAGCGGAACCCTTCTCCAATCAAGTAAGAAAACGCAAATAAAAGAAGAAGCTTTTTCCGCCCTTTCCTTGTTCTTCTATGTACTAGGAGTGTAGATTAGCAGTTGTTGAAGCCCTTCGATGAAAAAAAGCACGATTAGGGTTTTATAATTTATAGAGAAACAAGAATGGGGTATAAAAACTACAAGGGTCGATGAACTTACCTTTCTCGACTTCTCTGTTGAATTTCACAGCTCTGCGCCAATTTAGTATTAATAGAGCTCAATTCAAACTCTCGATCAAAGGAAACCTTTCATTGTTGTGTGAGAGAGAAAGTAGAGAACTAGAGTTGTGTGGGAGAGAAATCGTTGCTCTCTCCCATGTAGGAGAGGAGTCGTTGCTTTCTCCCAAGACGGACGGAGCAGAAATCGGCTCCATTGTTTAAGAAATTAATGGAGGGAAAGCATTGAACCAGTCAGTTTAAGAACAATTTAATTATGATCGGCTGGTTCAATGTGAATACCGTTGCTTTAGTTCACTTAACTGCCACCCTGTTTTAACGGTTTCCTTGGTTTAATTCATTGGCGGCAGTTTTGATAAAATCGCCACCATTGATGCATCGAGGTCGGTGTTTTTTATGACTGCCGGCTTACAACCGCCGGCTTAGCCGGTTTTTCTTATAATGGATAGACGTAGTCAATCATCTAATCCAGATCAGCAGCTCAAGTAGAATCCTGGCATGAAAATGCTCTACACAGTAATCTAAATTATCATCTGTTACGTTGTATTTTATCTCTATTTTAAATTATTTCAAATTATACCTCATCCTCTATAACCAGTCCACAAGTGTATATAAATACATTAATGAAGGGAAATCTATGATATGGAAAATCACATAGGATGAGATAGCCCAATCAACTTTCGACTTTTTATTTACGTGAATATGGGTTATTGTAAGTAATCAGTTTCATAAACAACAATTAAAATCACATTTGAAAAAATAAATTCATTTTAAGAAAGACGCTAACTTATGAAAAAGTAATGACCGTTATTTTCCCTAATATCTTCAGCTCACTACCCCTGTTGAATCATCGTTGACAACAATGGTTTCTCTTTGGTGTCACCTCGTCACCCTTGTGCTTCTTCAAGTGATCCTCATCCTCTTGCTCTCTCACCCTGTCAAATCTGATGG